CACTGGTGATCAGAATAACTTATTAACATTTTATTTGCAGAAACTCCTAGGAATCTATTTCTCTCCTCAATAATTTCCTCTCAAAACAAAACAATGCTGTTTATCTCAGGGTCACGGCTCCTAGACTTCCAATCATGTTGCTGCATTTCCTTCTCCCTGTCAGCTTATTTTTTTTTACACTGCAGCAACCAAAAGTGGACATATTTTAACTTTAACCTTCAGAACATAATGAAGAGCTTAATTTATGTCTTTTGCACTGCTGTCAATGCATCTTGGCATAAGGTCTATTTTTGTTGTAAGTGGTATGATGCTGTTGATGCACAAAGTTTGCAATCCGGTGGAATAGTCAGATATCCCTCATTGCAGAACTTCTGCCCAGCCAGCTGCTCTGTACTCCTGCAGTAAATCATTTCTAACCAAGGGTGAAAATCACTCTTTGCTGGATGTCTACTAAAGGACACCTTCTCAAATGTTGGGTGTTCAATCTAATCTAAACCAGGCTGTACAAAATGCCTCTGAACGTAGTGAAGAGTGACAATGCATCTCATCCCATGCTAAGACAGATGTACGTGGGATGAACTGCACTCAAGAGAGGCACTTCTCACAATTTAGCAAGGTTAAATGGATAGCTAAAGTACTGGTTTACAGTTAAATGATGGTTGTGCAATTTTCAGACAGCTATTCAAAGTAAAATACATCTGACATGCACTGTGTGCTTTTCTCATTGATCAGAACTCTCTTCCTCGTTAACCAGAGAAAGATCAGGAAGAATTTCATACTTTTCCCACCTGATACGCTTTTGTCCTGTCCCAGCTTAATGCCTTTGTCCATGCTTGCTAGACTAATTCTCTTAAACAAAAGTACTGCACAGTGCCAGTTGCAGCATTGAGCCCTTTCAAAGAGAACCCCTGTCACTGGAGCTTCTCATTTTGAGGTGAAGCATCAATTAATTACCCTGAATACAGGATTAAAAATGGTTTGTTATTTAGAAGACATTTATGCTATTTTCTATCCCTCATGAGAAAAATCTTACTAAAGAAAAGTCAAAGCAAATGTTTGTTGTAGGAACCTTTCATTCTTGCTAATAACTTATCAGGACAAGCTAGGTTTTAGAAACAAGCACTAAGGCTGGTCTGAACAGTCTGACAACAAAACTAAGAACAAATACTCATCCATATGAGACAAACAGGCCTCTCTTCTCGTTATTTTGGCAATAGCTATTTTAATGATGCACAGAAACTAATTTTAAAGCCAGATAAATTCAATCTATTTTTCATAAGATGAAAGCAAATAAATGCTAAAAATACTGTTACCTGACATGCTCAGGTATCAAATTCCCTTGTTAGTGGTGCAGGACCTGTGGAAAGTACTGCCAAAGCACTGCAAAACAGTTCAAATATCACCCAAGAAATTCTGGGAAACCTCATCTAAATCCTGTTCCTAGAAAGCAATCCACAAAGCTTTGATAATAAAGGTACCTTACTTGCACAGTTCTGCTTGCACTGTGTTGGCTCTGGGATTTAACTTGCTTTCATACCCATGTTTTCTCCTCCCCACTTTCAGACAACTGTTTAGATATTTTATAATAGTCTTTGCAAAAGAACACAGTAGATCTTCTCAAGTAATCAAAGAGCAAAACTAGAAGTGCATTTCACAGATCTTAAGCACCAGTAAATCTTCCTTTTAAGAGTTTGTCATTTTAAATTTGTGTCACTGTCACGCAACGTGCTAATGGGAAGCTACTCTTCAAGCACTGCTTTTAGATATTATACAAGAGAATTTCTAATTTCTGACTACAAAGTGCTATACGCTGAGCATTTAGGGTTTTAAAATACTGATATTCTGAGGATCATGCTGGACCTGAAAATGCCACACACAACACCTAATGCTGCACCTAAACCTGCAGATCTGAGTTCTGCTCTGAGATGCATTTTATTGCTGCCATTTAGCATATATGTTCTTGATCAAGTTTGTTAGTGATCTACAAACGCAGTTACATTTACAAACTGTGAAATGGACACCTTCTATTTTCTTCCTATCCATACAAATCTTTGTAGACACAATTCTGTGGGATTTGAACAAAGGAAATGAACTGACTATTCTTTGCAGCTGATGTGCGAGCGGTCAGCTTTCTTTCCACAGCTCTCTATTCCTTACCTCATCTCCTATATTCCTAACTCTATCTCTATAAACCTGAGAGGGATTTTATGTCACACTCTTGGTACAGAGCCTTCTTCCACCTCCATCAATCAATCTCAAATCCTGTGCCCGGGTTGCTGAGAACGTAGAGACGTCCTCCAAATGCAAATGTCTACTCTCTGGTTTTAGAGTGTTGCAAAACCCTGCTTAGGTTTCCTAAACTTTATCTTTTAGCATTCTACACTCCAAATGTAGATTTTTGTTGTATCTCTTACAGACCAATACTTAAATTTACTAGAAATTGAAGACTTCAGTTCTGAATAGTCCTTCCGGATTTGACTGGCCTTCAATCATAGAATTATGAAATTGTATAACAGTTTGGGTTGGAAGGGACCTTAAAGATCATCTAGTTCCAATGCCCCTGCCATGGGCAGGGACACCTTTCACTAGACTTGGGTTGCTCAAAGCCCCGTCCAACCTGCCTTGGAGCATTCCAGGGGTGGGACATCAACAACTTCTCAGGGCAAACTGTCCCAGTGTCTCACCACCCTCACAGTAAAGAATTTTTTCCTATTATCTAATCTAAACCTACTCTCAGTTTAAAACCATTCCCCCTTGTGCTGTCACTACATGCTCTTCTAAAAAGTTCCTCTCCATCTTTCTTGTAATTTCCCTTCAGGGACTGGAAGGTCGCAATTAGGTCACCCTGAAGCCTTCTCTTTTTTCCAGGCTGAATCCCAATTCTCCCAGCCTTTCATTACAGGAGAAGTGCTCCATCCCTCTAGTCACCTTGGTGGCCTCCTCCGGACTTGCTCCAACAGGTCAATGTCCTTCCTTCCTGTGCTGGGGACCCCAGAGCTGGATGCAGTGCTCCAGGTGGAGTCTCACCAGAGCAGAACAGAGGGGCAGCACCCCCTCCCTCACCCTGCTGGCCACACTACTTTTGATGCAGCCCAAGACACAATTGGCTTTCTAGGCTACCAGTGCACACTGCTGGGTCATGTCCAGCCTCTCGGCCACCAGCACACACAAAGTCCTTCTCAGCACGACCACTTTCAATCTGGTCAGCCCCCAGTCTGTACTGATACCAGGGGCTGCCCCGCTTGTTCCATAGTAAGAAAACCACAATGGAGCAACAATGGAGCAGGTGTGCAGATGCAGTAAAGTCTTAGTGTATGTTTCAGTTTGTACACGTGAATTGTCAGAACAATAATGCAGCTAAACAATACAGTCACAGTAATCTGAGTGGTCTAAGAACACAGGTATATAAAGCTAAACACTGGAAATTTCTTCAGTAGAGAATGAGCTGCACTAAGCAAAGGCTTTCACATTCTAAAAATAAAGTTAATTTGATTAACGCATCATGGAAACAAAGATGCAAATGACTAAATTAATTTCCTATTCCTGTCTTAGATGCCTGGTACCTAATCCTGAAGTAACTATGTATTCCAGTGCAAGAGCAATAAATCAAAGGCCTATTAAAAAAAACCACCACCAAACCAAACATAGAAAAACCATCAATAATTGATCTGGTTTAATTAAATACCATTCTACTTAATAAAACATTGTCATTCATCAGTTTCAAACCCCAGCATTCCGAAGAGGAAGGAATACTTTTTTTATTTATAGTATACAAATACTGTTATGAAAATAATTTGTATGAAACTATAAACCTGAAATAGACAATTCACTAGTGCCCTTTTTTTTAATAGATAAGAAGCGATGTCTAACTTTACTTCCAAACTTTTTCTCTCAGCTAATTTTTCCACTGAAACTATTAGCCAACTAATTGGAAGGAAACAATTTAAGAGAAAATAAAGCCTTTTATGAAAACAGAGAACAAATATTTTATGCTTTAAGAGCAAAAACTAAACATGAACTAATACTTCACTCCATCTTTCCTGCTCAGTATTAACAAAAAGTTTCACTATATTTTATGCTAAAAATATACTTTTCTTTGAGTTGTTTGAATGATTTTTTGCTTTAGTACAGAAGATAAACCATTTCGTTCATGTACATAACTTACTCTTGAAAGACAATGAAAGAGTGTCATTGTTTTGGGATGCTTAAGTAGGACCTTGGATCTCCAGAACTGACTTCTAAGCCGTTGCAAGGAACAAGAAGAGAAAACACTTTACAAAGGAGCAATAGACAATGTGGTCTTTGTAGGAGAATGCTTTTAGGCACAGAAGCCTATTAGTTCTTCCCTCCGTGAGATCCTTATTTGACAATATGGCCCTCTGGCAGGAATAACAACCTAAAAAGAAAACTGGTCCTACTTACACTGAGCTCTGAGAAAAAATTAAAGCTCAATTTGTCTCCTGTGTCAGCTCACAGTACAGTGTCACACAGACTGATACTGTCACCCAAGCTCCCCTGTCCTCAAACTCGTCCTCAATAGTCAGCAGGTCCCTATCCTGGCATCAGATTCACTAGGTAAAAAAACAATGGTTCAATTATGCTGTATCATGCAGATCTCATCCACCAACCTTCCACAGCATCTGTGGAGTTGGCTTTAGTATGCCTGTTCTTACTGATGTACATGAAATGCAGAGTGGGGGAGAAGAAATCCAACCTTGCTAACTTGTCACACATTTATTATTTAATCTTCAGTGATTTCATTGACATAGAAGTCTGATAACTTTCTTTGTAGACTTGATGGGAGAAAGGCAATGTGTCTTTATAGTCATGCAGCCTGCCTAGTTATTTAGATTTTGCCAGACAGATTTTTGATTGTTTTGAACAGCACCAGAAAAAAAGTTACTTCCAGTTAGTGGACTGAGAGAAGAACCTTGCTCAGTCCACTCAAGGTAATATTTGGAAAGTTCTATTATCTAGAAAGCACATAAAAGTAAACTTGCCTTCCATAAAGATCCTGTTCCAGTAGATTTTTCCAACTTGATTTCCTCCAAGAAATATTAGATTTGATAAAATCAACATTGAAGTGCTAACAGATGCTAGGACAGCATGAAGTCGACGACGAATTCTTGGCGAGATGAAACGTTCCTGAGGGGTAAAACAAAAGGTGCAGATGAAGTTAACAATCCCTGAAAATTTTCAAGTAAACATTAGAAAAAGACATCGCCCTTATGACAAACAACTTCTATACTTCTATACAGAAGTTCAAGTCCTTATGGAGCAGATTTTAAAATACCTAACACAAGCGCTCACCAATGCCATTTAAGTCTGAGTAAGACTTTATGATAAAAAGTGGAGTTGAATCATAACTGTGGTAGGAAGGGACCTCTGAAGGTTACCTAGAAAGGTCATCAAAGTAGGGTCAGCTGGAGCAGGCTGCTCTGGACTGTGTGTGGTTGGGTTTTGAATATCTCCACTGATGAAGGCTGCACAATCTCACTGGGCCAACCTCTCACAGTAAAAAAGATTTTCTTTAGGTTTAAATTGAATTTCTTGCATTTCAGTCTGTGCCCACTGCCTTTTGTCCTAAACACCACTGAGAAAAGTCTGCCTTTGATTTCTTCTCCCCTACAGTTAGGTATTTTATACAAATGGATAATATTCCCAAGTCTTCTTTTCTCCTGCTGAACAGTCCCAGCTCTCTCCGCTTCTCCTCTTAACAGCAGACGCTTCATTCTCTTGGCTGAACTCACTCCAGTATGTCCACGTCTCTTTAGTGGGGAGCCCAGAACTGGACACATTTCTATACATTCAGTGTCATAATTATTTTCTTATTAAATGTTCTCCTTGATGAACTTTCGCTGAGGGACGCAAACAGTAACAACATGCTTCTAGGAAGAATACTACCCAATAGGTTCCAACATGGAATAAAGCACTTCAGTACACAAAAACATCAACCAGCTTCAGAAGTCATGAATCCTTTAATTGATTAATAAGACATCACTGAAAGATTTTGCAGTCAGATCAGAACAGATTATAGTAATGACTCTTAAATAGATAAATCTAAAAACAAATACATACAGACGCAATCCCAAATTTTTTTGTCAGTGCAAATATTACTGCTCATGTTCAAGAAGTGTAATTATCCATTGTAAAGGTTTTGGTACTGTTGCTCCAATGATACAGAGCAGCAATAAGTAGGTCTCTCTCCAACACATACTAGTCTACATTTTTTTTAATCTGTATTTGGCATTATCACCTGAGGTGTGAGTGCAGCATAGAGACTGGAGGAAGATGGTAAAAGAAAGATGAGAGTTTTAGTTACCTCCAATATTCACCTGCTAGAAGAAATTTTAAAGACCATTACAGGACTTCACAAGGAAATATTGTCTCATTACTGCACAAGGAAAAATACCTTGTTCATTGTGGCCTTGGGTTGAAAGCCTCTGTGCATAGTGCTTCAGTCTACAAAAGACTGAATGCTTTGTGAGAAGTGATGAGTATTTGCCAGGGCACAGAAACTAAGGCAAGTCTCAGGGGCTGCTCAGCCTGCACGTCATAAATGGTGACGTTGAAGAAAACAAAGTCTTGTGACTGCAGCATCAGGAAAAAAAAAGAGCAGTAATTAATCTTTAATAGCTACAGCCAGACCAGAATTCATGCTCAGATACCTGAAACAACATAAACACATGCTCAAAACAGTCCTAAAAATACAGATCTAGAAAATTAAATTGCTAGTTCTATAAACATCAAAACAAATGTTTCTACTGCTACTGACAAATCTTCAAATAAATTACAATTACAGGGATAAAAATACAATTTCAACATATTACTGCAAAGTAAGTCTCTGCTAAATTGAATGTTAGCCCCAGTCAGAGCTGTGTCTAGTATGAGTCAGTTTGAGTCAGCACAAAAACAGGGATAAATAAGGTTTAAGGAAAGCTCTGCATCAGGTTGTATGTACAATACAGCAATAGTCTATCTTCCATACAACACTGTGAAAAACAGTCATGTATGAAAAAAGAGACTGAGATTTTTCTCTGAAAATTTTGCATGAAAACTAGGGCATGATAGGAAAAGAGTAGAGAATATAACATAATCGTATAAATATTCACTGATACAGACTCAGTGAAATAACTTCTTCCCTTTCTAGTACTTCGCATCCTCAAAGCTGCCCAAGAACTTCCAATACATCCTCCTTCTGTTCACACACACACACAGAGGACATCTTAAGTTTTTCTCTTCCTGAAATGTATAGTTTGAGTGTATGGTCCCCCATACAAGAAATTTGTAAGCCATTTCAGAATGTGTGCACACAGAGAAAAACATCCGAAATCTTGCTGTTAAATCCATGTTAACTACCAAGTTTGAATAAGGAGAAGTTATGATCATGTTAGCTTGAACTTTGTTGTTGAGTCACCAAACTTGGACGCTTATTGCATTATGCTAATTAATTCTGATTAACCTGCAGCTCAAAAAGAACATCATCTTTCACTCTACCTCCATCTATCAAGCTTATTTGTCAACTCTAAGAGAAATAGTTTTAATTAAGAAAGGGTAAAAAATCTTCTGCTCAAGCTGTAGATAAAGATGGACAACCCATCAGACAGGGGGTGCTGATCTGTATTTTCCATCAACATACTGATCAGACTCAGTAAGTTTGAAAGGTCTGCCTGTTTTACAACCCAAAGCAGTATTACTAAAACAACATGAATAGTTAAAAAAGTTCTACTTTTTTTTTAAATGAATAGAGTTACTAAAAAAATAAATTAAACTGTCACATATAGTACATCACCCGCTACAAAAGTGCTGCATGTTAAACAATGCAGGTTAACTGCAGTATAGACCATAAAAGCCTTTAGCCATTTATAAGGTATAAAGGAGCAGTTTAAGACAGAAACAGTTTAGACAAACACTGAACCTTTTCCGGATTTTGCTGTAGCTAATTTCCATTAACTTTGCTAGGCATTGATCCAAAAAAGCAGTACACGCTTTCCTGACAGTCTTTGATGTCAATGCCACTTTTACTCTGCTGCAATGAAGGTAAAAAAAGAGCACATTCTTTAAACATCTCAAGTCATCTAGAAAAAGCTAAATAGGAAAGTACCCAAGCAGCTATTGTGAGCAGATTAATACACTGAAAGTATTATTTAGCCATGAAGAAGAAATGAGGCTGATCTAGATAAGCAATATTAACATTATTTGATTTAAATACGTACAAGCATGTAGATTTTTCTGAATGTACGGCAAGTTGTTTACACCAAAGCAAAATTTAAAAAACCCTCCACATCCACTTCCTTATGTCACTTATTGCTTTTAACAATATCCTCCATTACAGCAATAAAAACAACAGCTATGGATTTGTGGTGTTTCTCTGGATTTTACTGCTGTCTCTCTCCTCTTTTCCTGTTGGAAATAAGGCTACTACTAGGTAGAGGGGTAAAAGAGCACCTAGTGTTAAAATGACAATGAAGCTGTGGCTGCTTGGCTGAAACCCTTACATTTGCATCCCCCCTCAATGCTCTATCTTGCTTGTCATCTTGCTTCAGTACTTCACCAAACTTTAATTTTAGTAATGCCCATCTCCCCACACATTGTGAAATATAAGGAGTGTAGCATTTAAACTACACAAAAAACAGACATATTATCAGGATACTCAGCCCAGAGGCATGCAGCATGACATCGAAGGTGACTAATAAAAGGTTGGCTCAGGCTACCTTTCCTGGAACTGAATAGAACTTGGGTTATTATTCCAAATCCATTCCTGCTGTAAATGAAGATCAGTCTCAGACATTTTTACCAGATGTTGGAAAAACTTCCCTCTGCACATTGCTGGGTAGAGCAAAATTGGCTGCCATCAGACCTCTCTCAACTGAGCCTTCTCAGTCACCTTACAAAAATAAATGATACTATCATTTAGCAGGGTACCTTGACAAGTAAATCTGTGTATGTGTTTGAGAGTGGTGGAGGAAGACAGGCATGAAAAGAAACTGAATCGTCCAAACATTTTCATTCCTAAATCCTTTTCCAGTTATGCATGCACATCACCTTTAGCCTCTAAAACCAAGTCAGAAATGGGAAGCTTGTATGATGGTCGTTTCTCAAGAAAGATGGCTTATGAAGGACAACACACAGCACAACAGATCATTTAGGTTAGAACTAAGAGTCAAGGTAAAGGACATGGAAAAAGGAATTTTGAGTTAGAGAATACTTATTTCGTGCGCTTTGCAACGTAATTACATCACTATGAATGCAAAACATACGAAGATGGCAGAAGAGGCTTCAGAGAGCCACAGTCTGAAGGAACTTCTCTCTAAGGTGATTCAGAGCTGATTAACAATAAATATGCATTTTTACAGGACTGTGTACAACAATATTACTGAATGGCATGGAAAGATGAAATTGAGGGCCCAGATAAATGCATTTACATGTCCTAGTTAGCCAACAACAGAGAAAATATTTTGGGGAATACTGACCAGAAAAAGTCATCTTCCCTTCCATGTGGAAGTTAGTGACAGGACAAGCCACTTGTATTGACAGAACAATTGCCCAGAGAAGTCAGGGATGCCCCATCCCTGGAAGTGTTCAAGGGGAGGTTGGATGGTACCCTGAGCACCCTAGTCTAATGAAAGGTGTCCCTGCCCACGACAGGGGTGTTGGAAGCACATGATCTTTAAGGTCCCTTCCAACCCAAACCATTCTATGTTTTTGTGAAGTTGAGGAGACACCTAAGACCAAACTCGGTACAGCACTGAATACTAGGCAATGCTACACAAAATATCACACTGAAGTCTTTTACAGAAATATATTCATCAGTATTTCATTAGGGAAGCAATCCTACATTTTCCTACAGCAACCATTCCTAAACTTCTTCTAGCAATAGTGGTGGCACCATGGGGTTTTGGCATGTCCCAAAGGCTCATTATTCAGAGGGCTGCTGAAACCATCGGCAGTAGCTTGTTCTGGGAGCAGCCCACAAGCATCATGCTGGTTTAGGGGAGGGCTCAGGAACTGCGGTGCATGTTTTCTATCACGCTGCAAACCCAGCCTGACGACAGTGTCAAGTAGCAAGAAGCCTCCCCTGAGAGACATTAGCTTGTACCTTCTTAGCAAATGCTCAGAAGATGGAAAACATCTAAGCAAGCTGC